CCTGTATGGAACACTTGCAGCACAAGAGAGCGACATTATGAAGAAAAAGGTATACATTGGTGGACGCCTTGCTCTTGCTACCGATGAAAATTCAAGGACTCCCGCTAAAGAACATAAGAAGAAGAGCAAGAAAGCATTGGTGGTAGAATCAGAATTTGAAGAGGAAACTTCTTAATCAGATGATGAAATTAAAGCTTTTGCCAAATCGTTGGCCTTGATTACAAAACAGTTCCAGAAGAAGTTCATCAGAAAACCCTACGAGCGAAAAGAGTTTAGAAGGGAAAGGTACCAGTCATCCTATGATAGAAAGCCAATCCATCCCTCTTATCACATCAAATTCTTTCATAGGTATGGGAAGCAATCAGATGGGTAGCTCACAATCCTCAATCATGATAGTGCAGTTTTTAAACACGTAACTCACAGATACTTGACCGTTAACAGTATCAACAACTAACTTATCGTCAAGTGGCACAGAATTCATACGAGCACATAAGGCAAATGATGGGGATACAAATGAGAAGTTTGCACCTGAGTCAAAAAACACTTTAGCATGTAAGGAGTTCACGAAAAATGTACCTGTTACTACATCGGGTGTAGTTTCTGCTTCATGTTTGGTCATTTGAAAAGATCGACCCCGCGCCCTACCCGTTGCTCCTCTGCCCATATTTGGTCTTCCTCGGTTTGTTGATGTATTGCTCCCCATGGTTAACTGTGGGGCTTTCATTTGTGGACAATTTGGTCTGAGGTGATCTGGAGAATTACAATTGAAACACCTTTTTACTATTGAGCAAACATTCGACAAATGACCTGTTTCACCACATTTATAACATTTCCTTGGTTCAATCCTTCATTCTCCCTAATGAATCTGATGGCATCGGGGACAAATCCTTTCATTGAATCTTTGTATGGGCCCGTTTCCATGCTTTACAACTTTTGGTCCTTTGTATCCGGTTGATGGACCTTTCTATTTCCTCTTTTCTATTGTTTTCCCTTCTTCTTGTCTGTTCTTCTTTCTTTCTGTTACCTCTGCTGTGTCAACAGTCAATAAAAATGTAGCCGAATTCATGGCTATGACAAATTCTCGGATTGATGGTTTCAATCCCCAAATATATCTTTCCACTTTCCTAGATTCTGAGAAAATATAGTGTTTTGCAAATCTTGAATATTCGATGAATTTCTCTTTATATTCCCTCACAGTTCTGTTTCCTTGTTTCAATTTTAGAAAGTCTTCTTCCATTTGTCTAACGGCAGCTTTTGGGCAAAACTGCTCCATGAACCTGTTGACAAACTCTAGCCATGTCATAGTTTGCAAAATATCTGTTCTGCTAAGGATTCTACTTCCTACCAAAATAACGCATTTGATTTTAACATCGAGACTGCAAATCTCACTTTATCTGTTTCTGCACATCAGATGGTATTGAATACAGACTCCATCTCTTTGATCCAACACATAGCTTTAATTGGATCTCTTTCTCCCGAGAAGGTTGGTGGTTTGCAGGTTAGAAACATCTTTATATCTCCTTCCCTGTTATTGAGAATTGGAACCGATGGAATAACTTCAATTCTGCCTGTTTCTATTCTGGCAGGATTTCTTAAAATAGAAGTCAAGGTCTCCCTTAGCTTTCCCATTTCTTCAGCTAACATATTTTTTGTTACATATTATGGGTGAGACATCTGTTCTTGATTCATATTTTCATAGTTTGATTCTGCTTGATTCATATTGATTTCTGGCTGGCTTATTCTGCCTCTGGTCTGTCCCCTACCTCTGCCTCTACCCCTGCCTCTGCTTCTGCCCTCAGAGGTGCCAATAGGAGCAATAGGGGATTCTTCTTAATTGGGACGGGTGATCCTTTCCGACCTTCTTGACCTACTAGTCATCTGTACATAACAAAGTTAAAACACACATTTTTCACATTCTCAAATATAATAAAGTGTCCAAGTTCAGTTATGTACCTGTAGATTCAAAATTACATTGGCCAGATGTAATCCGAAAATTCCTTACACACTGATCTCTTAACTTATTATATTTATTCCAAAGGTGCTAACTATGTCTGGGACCCTAATATGTAATGAAGTAGTTTAAGTCTAGGTATAATGCATGTGAATACCTAAATCCCTTAAACTCAGGCTCTGATACCAACTCTGGTATCACTTCTGTAACACCCCCAATCAATACATTGCATATAACACATATTATACATATAATACATGTCTTCTCCCACATAGGTCCATAATACAAAAGTCTTTAATGTGAATTACACCACTCAAAAATTTCAAAAGTACATGCTTCTTTTATTCAAGCATCTATGCTTCCAAAACAGCTAAGCACATAGGGAAGTAATTCACATAATGCTCTTTCCTTTATTATCTTTACTTGCACACATATTTTTGAAAACACGAAATAAGGGTTAGACATAAATGTCTAGTGAAGTTCCCTTTTATGTAATGCAGGGTGAAGGTCACCAAAACATTTATCAAATAATCATTTCACAACATGCAGAATAAAATCAGATTCTGTTTTGGTCCATTGAGCCTCTGGTTCCAAACCGCACTTGGAATATATTTCAATAACCAGGACCAGAGCCCCTCTGGTCTATCTTCCAGAGCTTCTGGTTCCTCGACCAGAGCCTCTGGTTGTACTAACCAGAGCTTCTGGTTCAACGTGTAAGCCAACCAGAGCCTCTCTGGTCTGTTTTTCATAAAAAGATTCTAAGTATAAAATCCTTTTCTTAAAACATCTAAAAATACGATTTTGACATAGAAGCTCTTATCAATAGATACAGAGCCTCTGCTCCAATTAGTACATTTAGTAAAAACTTGCTTATTCTCCAAATCAATAACCAGAATCCTCTGGTCCGATAATGAGGACCAACCAGAGCCCCTCTGGTTCCTTACAAGGAACAACCAGAGCCCCTCTAATTCCTCATAAAAATGACCATTCTGTTCCAAAACACTTTTAACCAATATCAATGGCCATAGGCCAAGTTTTCCCCTTCTCAATAACATAAATATTATTATTTCTAATAAGAACAATATCTTTGAGTTCTCAAATCACAAAGAAGTAAGGACTCAAATCTATT